AAAGTGACGACGGTTTCGCAAATCGCAGCCCCCCCAGGGATAGCGAGGTCTAATTTGGACCTGCGGCGGCTACCCACTATGCTGGGCCCCAGGCAGCCCTCGAAAGTGACGACAGCTTCGCAGATCGCAGCCCCCCAGGGATGGCGAGGTCTACTTTAGGTCTGCGGCGGCTACCCACCATGCTGGCCCCCCAAGCAGCCCTCGAAAGTGACGACGGTTTCGCAAATCGCAGCCCCCCAGGGATGGCGAGGTTTAATGTGGGTCTGCGGCGGCTAGCCAGGTTCACTGGCAGGCCGATCCCAAAACGCACTTCGTTACGAGTGACGCGTGGCGCCGACCGAGCGATTACATCGTGCACCTCGCGCGGGCCGGTCAATCCGGCCGCCAGAAAGCGAACGCCGGGCACGCTGAAACGGGAGCTGACACTTGTGTTGGCGAAGTTCGCCGATGCGCGCAACCCGTTTTGGGAGGACGACAACGAGAGCGTGCCCTGGGCGCGCCGACGGACCTTCCCGATGTTATTGATGGGCCAGAACGGCTCCAGCAAGACGGTGATCATCCAGGATATCCCGCTGCCCGTCATGGACTTCATGTTCGCGCCGTCATCCACGCAGAGCGTCTGCGCCATGTGGCTTAGGAGCGAGAAAACCTCAACCGAGCGCCACAGGGCAACTACGTGACGCAAGGCGGCGCACATGAACATCGGAGAGCACCGCACCCTGTCGATGGCGCCCGCGGCTGATGTCTGGACGCGGCTGTGGAAGATCTGGTGCGACCTGAACCCATTCGTCATCAAGGAAGTGAGCCTGGTGTCGCCGAGCCTCTTCAACATGCTTGCCCACCGCGCGTTCCATGCCTGGCGGGAGAAGTGCGAGTTGCAGGAGGCGTACTGCATCAGCCCGTCCTGCGCCTTCGGGCGCGCCCCCATCGCGATCTACCTGGGGGACTCCTTGCAACTGAAGCCCACGGGTCATGGGATCTCTCTCACTGCACCGACCTTGCAGACGTGCTGCATCGCATGTTTGCGTGGATGTCTGCCACTGCCAAGGCAAAACCCCGAAACGGCGAGTGAAAAACGACGTGACTTTCGCGTGGATTCGACGTGACTTTCGCGTGGATGTTTTAATCGTCATTCCTGGCCCATTAAAGAACACGAACTTCACTTCGAAGTCCAGAACGACATTCTCCATGACAATCTGGGCCCATCCTGTTACTTCCGAACGAGATCCGCTCTGCGGTGTTGGCACCATGATCCCTCTGCTGCCCGACCTGCATAAGCTGGCGACCGCCGATGACGGAGAAGAACAGCCGCCCGTCGAGCGCCAGAGGGCCATGACATCATTTCACGACGCGCCCCTGCGCTTCCAGCCCTGGGCCACGAAGCGCTTCAAGGACCCAACCTCGCCGACATCATCAACACTTCATGCGCAAGCCGAAGAGGGGCCTCACAGGGACTTGGTCCTGGGCAAGATCGCTGATACCTGAAACCACACCCACACGAAGAAGATTGACATGCGCCCTCGCGAGGAGCGGTTTCCAGACGGGGTTGGGACACCGTCGCCTGGTGGATGATGATGCGAGCGAGGAGAGATGCTGGTTCCCTCGGCCACTTGCTCTACCTCGCCCTGGCCGCCGACGCGTCCTCGCCCGCGCCCCCCGTGGACCTGACCGCGAAGCTCGCGAACCAAGTCGACCCGAACGCGAGGCGCGGCGCGCGCGGGACGCTGCCCCTGCGCGCGGGCACGCGGATTCGCTAGCTGGAGCACCTGGACCTCGACGAGGGCCTCGTTAAGGGCGCCGAAGGCGAGGTCGCGAGCGTAGCGCTCAACCCCCCTGGGCAAGGCAGAAGGGAAGTCGGCGAAGGCAGAGGGGCGCCCAGCGCACCTGCGGCGCCTGCCCTTCGGCGTCTGCGCCTGCATGGACAGGCGCAGGGCCCCCGCCTTCGGCGAGAGGCTCGCGGAGCACGACGGCAACGTCGCCGCGCGCCTCGGAAGCACCGTCGACAGCGGGTACGAAAACGATTGCGACCAGGACGGCCGGTGGCTGCACCTCCACGCGATGCTTTGCAGGGCCGCGAAGGTCGACGATCTCCCGATGCTTCGGGGCCCGGGCCGCCCGCGGACCTTGCGGCGCGTCGGCTTGCTTTTTACATCCCCCGCGCTAAAAAAAATGTCTGGAGGGGGGCCCAGCAGCTGGCAGGGCAGCCTGGCCTGGCGCACTTATCGCACTGATTTTGTGGCTGAATGCTAGCGCGCCTCGGAGCAAAGTCTTCCTCCCTCCTCTGCCTTCTCTCTCGTCGTCACTTCTCCCCTTCCTGTTGCCATGACCTCTTGCTGCTGCCTCGCTGACGTTGCAAGCTCCCTGTCCGCCTTCTCCTCTTAGTCCTCGCCCCTCTCTCCCCTCGACCCGGGGACCTGTAATAATCACCTCCATCAAGCCCTTGTCCATCGATCAGTGCCATGCGGATCGCGCAACTCGCGAGAATCCCGGGTAACGCTCGCAGAGAATATGCTTCCTTGCCACGCTCGCATCCCCTAGAGCATCTGCCCAGCTGTTGTGGCCATGCGCTGCGCAAGTGTTCGGTGCGTCGCCAAAGCTGATTCGTCGCATGTGGATGCGCGACCGCCGCCGGCCGACTGATAATCGGCAAAATGAAATGACGAGTCTGGGGCCCATTGCGCGACAATGGGTTCGTCAACGATGGAGGCAACGACGACGCAACCAAACATCAATCGGCACTGGCAGCGGCGTGTCTATCGATTTCTCATCACGAACCCCCAATAACCGAACACAGGCCTCGAGCGAGGGCAAACTAAGCCAAGACTGTGGGAATAGATGCGAGCCCAAACTGTGAAGAGCTCGAACCGAACAAACCAAACAATAGAGGAACCCCCATGCAGAAGAAGCACGTACATGAATGAATCCCACCAGCCTTTGTATGGGGTGCGTGGTTTAAAGCGCTTCCTTGTCCAACCATCTTTTCTGGGCGACACACATTCTGCACAGGCAATATGAAAATGCCACATTGATGTTAACCTAATTGTCCCTCTTTGGAGGCTGTGTGAAACTTAAGCAAAACTGGTCTGGACCGTGTTCGTCATTAGGAAAGAAGGTATGACCATGAGAATAAGAAGATGGAAGAGAAGCGAATGCTGGCATATACGCGCAACGATGTGCAACTAAATCAGTGACCCGCTCCGCGGCAACGTGGATAAGCAAAATACAGAAGAAGTATATAAGAAGTTATGCAAGCGCGTTCGCGAGACTTGCAACCTATCGTTGTGCGGGGCGTCAAGCGGGCCACAGCCTAGCATATCAAGTGTCGTCTTTCGCTGGTGCCTGGCAAGCATCATGGAGGGGCAGAAAACTCGCCGGGCGGCAGTGAGCAAGGCCGCTCGGCAGAACAACGGACGAGGCGCTGCGGCACAGGTCTTTGCCCCGACTCTCACCTGGGTCAGGCGGCCGGGACAACAACTGGTTCCCAATTGTGCGAGACATGGAGACCCATGCGGTCTGGAGCGATGCCATCGGCGACCATATCCAAAACAGTGTTGCACACGGCGTCGGCATCTTCGTTAAATTCGCGGTAAACGTGGATTCCTCTTCGAATCCCCTTCTTCCGCTTCGGCAAAGGGTTTTAGCCGCCCCCCTGCCCCCCCCCCTGGACCTTGAGGGGGGGCCGTGGCGGGGGGGTCAAAATCCAAAATCCTTCAGATCCCAAGCGGAAATTCATCAGTTTAGCATTCTCGCATGTCCGCTTCCGATGGGGGGCCTCAGGATGGCCACAAGAGGGCCTAGCAGGGCCCACAGAAGGGGCCCGTCATGGCCCCAAGACGCCTCCAAGAGAGCCCCAAACGGCGACTTTGGGAGCTCCAGAGGAGGGGCGCCAAGTAAGTACCCCCCCTCTGGACCAACGAACGAAACATTGGAAACAGAACAGGGTTCATGACGTTTCGGTGCATATTTGGAAGGTTTTGGGTCCAAGAGGGGGCGCCACGATGGCCCCTCACGCTTCAAGATATCCTCCAAGACGGCGCAAGATGGTCCAAGCTGGCTCAGGATGGCCTCCAAGAGGCCTCATGATGGCCCAAAAACGGCCGAAAGTGGCCGCGGAGACTCCCAGAGAGGCCCCCAAGAGGCCAACATCCGTCCAACACCTGAGCTAAATCGATGACTGCGGCCTTCTCGCCTGTTCGCTCCCGAGGGGCTCCCGAGGCCTCAAAATGGCTCCAAGAGGGTCCAGGAGGGCCCCGAGACAGGCCCAAGGTGGCCCCGAGGCAACTCCCAGGGCGCCCCAAGAGGACTCCGGGTGGCGACTTTGGGGGGGCTCCTCCTGTGGAGTGGGGCAGCGCCTCTGGCGCGCACCGTTCGATGGTTGGGGCGGCGGGGCCGCAGACGACCACCTCTTGGGGTATGACGGCGTCCCCCGCCCTCTGTTCCACTGCGTGCTCCGCATCCCTGATCAGGGAAACTCGCCTGGGCAACGTTCCTGGATGGGCTGGTGGGGTCACTTTTTTGGTCGGCGGCTCCGAGGCGGCGGACAGGGAGCGGTAGGCGTCGTCTGGGCCAGCAGGCGAAGCAAATTAGCTACAACAGGCAAGGCACCTGCAGTCTTGTGGGGTCACGCGAAGCGTCTAGAATATACCAGCATCAAAACCACAACGACCATATTGAAGCAGATATTCATATCCTACAAAAATACGCAATAATATCATATCTGCGACACCAGAAAAGGCACAACAATCAAACGACAGCACGTGGCGTTCAAAATAGAACATCTGAGAAACCGACCGGTCGAATGGCATCAACCCTCAACCGAACCCATGCTTACAGAATGGACGGAACTGGTGTCCGGGACAGGCGGCACCTTTTTCCGGAACGGCCGAAGCGTACCTCCGGAAGGCGAAGCCTGCTTCCAGAACGCTGGAACTGCTTCAGGGAAGCTGAAGTAGCTGCTCCTCCTCGTCCTCGTCCTCCTCCTCCTCCTCCTCCTCCTCCTCCTCCAAAGAAGGGCGAGGAGACAAAACCCTGCCAAGAAAGCGTGTCAACCCGCCCGCAAAGGCAAGCCTACTTCGAGCCGTTCGCGACACGAGTGCCTCTGGGCGTGCATAGGCGACGGCGAAGCTTTGTCGCCAAGTCGCTAAATGCGCGTTGACCACTCCAGGCTCTTGCAGCGATCCTGCCAGCAGGCCCCCACGCCAGGCCACTCGGGGCTCGTCTTGGAGGGTCTGACGGGCGTCTTGGGACCCCCATCTTGCGAGTCTGAAAGACATGTTGGGCGCTCCTCGGGGGGGCCTTGGGATACTTCCATGGGCCCCTGTCGAAAACCGCGGGGGGACGAGGGGGGGCAACCTCAAGCACTCAAGCGAACCATGGATTCCAAATAAACCGTAAAGTGCCGCAAAATCCGCCAACCCACTCGGCGCGCGTGAGACGCTGTCGTCGTCTTCGTCGTCGTCAGTTCCAAGGAAATCGAAAAACGAACAGAGAAAAGAAACGTCGTGAAAGAAACGTCGTAGTTTAATCGATTCCCTCCCCTTTGCCCCTCCCTGACGGGGGGGCAGGGGGGGAACGCCCCGAGAGCCGTCCAGGAAGGCTGCCCACGCTCGCGCCCTGGGAGGCCCCCAGAGGCCCTATCACCATGAGAAAAATTCAGCACAGGGAGGCTGCCCACGCTCCCGCCCTGGGAGGCCCCCAGAGGCCCTACACCAGGCGAAAACAATCCAGGGAGGCTGCCCGCGCTCGCGCCCTGGGGAGGCCGCCCACGCTCCCGCCCGGGGAGGCTCCCGAGGCTCCCGCTGCCCCCCGCTGCTCCTGACGCTCCCGACGCTCCCGACGCTCCTGGCACTCCTGGGGCTCCCGACGCGCCCGACTCGCCCGACGCTCCCAACGCTGCCGACGCTTCCGACGCTCCGGGCGCCACCGGCGCTCCCGGTGCTCCCGGCCTGCGCTGCCGGCGCTCCTGACGCTCCCAACGCTCCCGGCGCTTCTGACGCTCCCGACGCTCCTGGCGCCCCCCGCGCTCCAGGCGCTCCAGGCGCTCCAGGCGAGGCGCTCGGGTCGCTCCCGGCGTTCCCGGCACTCCCCACGCTCCTGACACTCCTGCGGCTCCTGATGCCTCCGACGCCCCCGTCGCCCCTGGCGCCCCTGACGCTTCTGGCGCTCCCGACGCCCCTGACACTCCTGACGCTCCCGACGCTCCCGACGCGACGCTGCGGAGCTTCAGACGCTTCGGTCTGATGCTTCTGACGCCTCTGACGCTCCTGACGCGGCGGAGCTTCAGGAGCTTCAGAACCTTCAGAGTGTTAGTGGCACCCGGTGCCCCATCTATCTGAATGGGCGCGTTTGACCTCGCCCTCGGCTCCAAGGCCTCAACTTTGGCTCCTGGCTAACATGTGCCTTCGGCCTGCGTTGTCTGTGCCCTCCCCGTGTTAGCACGCCACGCACTAGAATCCGGGCCCAAACCCCCCAATCCACACTATCTCACGTGGGCAACACTGACGCACGCGAACGCACGCGCGCCTCGCGAGTCAAGACCAGCAAGTATTGAGACATATGAAGACCACAACGGAGATTGGGGCCAGAGAGGAGTGCCCCGTGCACGCGTCGGCCCACAGCCATCCATACACCTATCGAGATGGCTCGAAACTGCCCCCACCCCAGACGCCTAAAGGTGCCCAGAAGATCTGCAAACATGGCCCAACATGACCCCAAGTCGCATCAAACTGTACTCCTCCTCCTCCTCCGCCTCCTTCTCAATGACGTCCTCCCTTGGGCGCATCTTTCTTCTTTGCGCGCACGCGCAGACCGGCCTGGTAATAATTGAGCCTCAGGCGCCGGCTGAAGCCCAGCCATTAAAATGTGCACTCGTCTGTTTGCAGACGTGATCGCGGGCGAACTGCACGCGTGAGCAAACAATGGTGTGCGTTTGCAAGGTTGGTTGAATTAAGCAATGCGCAAATGTCTTTTGCGCATGCGAATGCCATGTTTGAAGAACTGCCTGCCATCGCGCTTATATGCGTCAGGGAAGGCGCGAATCCCAGCTGACCACCAAATGCATGCGCGCAAACTCTGATTCTGATTGGCCCGCACCGATGTCAGTACTAGTGCTGCGACATGGGGCACGTCAACGGCGTCATGCGTCTTCGAAACCCAAAGAACCATCAACCTTGCGGAACCTGTAAAACGGCCCATGTGCTGCTGATCTGAATCGCTGCCATCTCAAAATGGTACCCTGCCTGCGAATACCCATACCGGTTGACGTCTCCTTCGAACGAGTGTCAGCGAAGAATCGAACATCACCTGGAGGGAAAGAAGACGGTGACGATGACCAAGATTGAAGGCAGAAACTTCGGTGCAGATCTTGGTCACGGCCCATCTAGGTCACCGTCGACTCGTGGATCATCCTCGCGAGATCGGCGACGGCCAGCATGGACCATTATTACGAAAGGCGTCGACAAAATCTCGCGACTCTTCCCTCGATCATTGGAGCGATACAGAGGGCAGCGTGTCAGTAAAGCACTGTCTCCCTCCAGATGCCCCCCAGCCCCAGTGAGGGGCAGACATACGGGGGACTCGCCCAGGGGGAGGGGGGAACATCGACATGGAATCGGCGATGCATCGCCGATATGTCGGCGACAAGCCCCCTCGATTGCGGTCCACACGTTCCCAGGTGGGTATCAGACCCCAGTCGAACATCAGTGGGCGATTGGGGCTCGACGCGTTCCCCCCTGAGCCTATGCCCCCCGAGCGTCTCTTGGCCCTGGCCCAGGGACGGGGGCGTCGCTGAATGGAGGGGGGAGCGACGCAGGGGAGGGGGGAGAACGGTGCACTTCTCGGGCCCCCAAGGCCCCCTTTGGGGCCCTGAAGTGCACCTTTCCTGCAGCCCTCGCTCCCCCTTGCGCGAGGCCCCAGGGAGGGGGACAGCTCGAAGAGCCGGAGGCGGGATTTCCACCACAGCTCAGGGCCCCTCCGCGCCCCCGACAGCGGCACTCCGTGCGTCCCTGGCCGGAACCGGGGGCGGGGGTGAGGCTTCGGAGGCCCTCGACGCGGGCGGTGGAGCGCGGGCAGCTGTCTTAGATCCCAGCCCCAATGAGACGAGGCCAGGACGAGGATAACATCGGGCGAGGATATATCGAGAATCTCTGCGATCCGGCGACTCTGGAGAATGGCGCAGGCGCCGCGACCTTCTCAGAGCGTTCCGGAACGCTCTGAGAGTCTTCCGGAATAGTCTGGAACGGATTTATCCTCGTCCTAGCCCCGTCCGATACAGTCGCGGCACCCATTTGGCAAAAAGATGAGCTCGGACACCAAACAATCCACTGCCCCTCAGGGGAGCTCTCACTGCACCCATCGAGGAGCCGATGCAACTCCCACGCAGCGGCAGTGTTATATAGAGGCCGACCAGGTTAATGTCACCACGTTCGGTCGGGGGGAACGCACGTAACTTCCCGCTGTTGTCGTCATCCAAGGCTCTGCCTGATGCAATGTTGACTGCTCGCACGAACTTCAAATGCAGATTTGTTATCATCTAAGAAGCCCCCGCACCGGCTTGCTTCGAAGCCCAGCTGGAGAAAGTTGCTGGCAATGGATAGCCATGTATGGAAAAAACTCTCTGGTTCGAGAGTGGTACAAAACGGAGCAGGGGATGATAGTATACGATACATGGTGGAAGCAAGGAGAAAACCACCCATCTCAACTCCCATCTCACACGATGAGAATGCACCCCTTCGCATCGTCGCCGAACATCCGCTCAAATGTGACTGATGCGCAGGAGAAAGCGCATTGCGATTGATCGCGCGAAAAAGATTACGTGCCACAGCGTGCCCGCTGCTGGCTACTCGGACTTCCAGTTCTCGCAGCACATCTGCACAATCCGCCGACCCCTTTGGGTCACGGAATGTGAGATGCTTCCCCCTTCCCAAACCCCTCCCCCGGGAGCCCGGTCGGGCCGGAATGGAGGGGAGGGGGTGGAGGGCAAAGGTGTCGGCCGCGCCCTTGGAGCCTCAGGGGGCCCAAAACGGGCAAGAGGGCCCCCAAAGGACCCCCGGACGGTCCAAGAGGGCTACGAGTCGCCGAGAGATCGCTCCAAGACGCCCAGGACTGCCTCCAGACGGTCGCGGAGGCCCCCAAGACGCCCCAAGAAGCCACCAAGAGGCGTCCCAAGAGGCCCTCCAGAAGCAAAATTCGTCCCATTTCCTACGGAAAACGTATTATTTTAGCACATTCGCCCCATGGGCTCTCACGACGCCCACAACGGCCCAAGATGCCTTTAAGATCGACCCAAGATAGCCCAAGAGGCCCCCAAGAGGGCTCCAAGACGGCCCAAGAGGGCCTCAAGACGGCCCCAGCTGCTTCCAAAACGACCCAAGAGGGCCCCAGGACGACCCTAAGAGGAGGCCCAGAGGGGAAACCCGAGTGAACATTTCGAGCACTCGGCCCCGAAAAAACCTGAGGAGGCACCAATAGGCCCCCAAGAGGCTCCCACGAGGCCCCCGAAGCCAAAAAGCAGAGCCGCGATCTGCCAACCGCCCCCAACGAAATCCCAAGAAGCTGAAACCCCAAGATTACCCAGAAATCGTTCCGCAAACTCTGTTTTTCCTTCTTACTGCCGCCCCAAGGGGTCGGCGGTGCGGCGTCAGCCAATGAATCCTCCTTCCCCCCGCCACCACCGCCACCTCCCCCACCACCCCCTCGATCACTGGTCCGCATTCGGTATCGCAAAACTGAGGACTATGTCGGCTAGAACGTCGTAATAGTCCAGTGTCATATGAAAAGGGTCCGTGTGCATGCTCTGAAGTTGGGACATTTTATAGGCATCCAAAATATACACGTTGGGGAATTCACTGGATATCATGTCGGTCACCGCCTCGTTCCACTGCGCGCACCGCGCATTGGTATGCAACGGCATCTGAACGGGATCCTCGAAAATGTGATTTATCAAGATCCAGACAATCACGGTCACCGAGCCTTGAAAAGCGAGCAACTGTTCGCGAACAGACTCTACATAGTCGTCAGCTGACATGGCTTCAATGTAGAAATCATGTAAGCCCTGGTTCGTAATGATGGCGTCCACGCTGCCGTACCGCTTCTTAACATAAGCGGCAATGGTGCCCTGAGTGGTATTTGTCTCGTTAGTCTGCAATGAAACCTCTCTCGCGTATTCCACGGGAACGTACTCAAAATCCAGCACGCACTGCTTGCTAACATTGCCCGAAGCAACAGAAACCTGACCACGATAACACCTGAATGACCGAGTGTCTTGGCAATAAGGGTGGGTAAGACCTTTGAAGAGCGGGGCGAAACCTTGCGGCGGAGGCACCCACTCTGGCGCTGGATCCAAACCTAGGAATTCCATCCTGTCGCAATCATTCTTAGAGACGGCCGTGTCATGCCAAGCACTATCGAAAATAGGGCGCAGCCTGCTATACAAGTTGTGCATCGTCGAATCCCCCAGAAATAAGAATCTGGAGTGCGTCACGTCGCTGGCGTCCTCGCCGCAGTGTCTCGCATAACTGCTCCATGAGAAGTTCATGGGGCAAGAAGACGACTTGTCAGGGTGCCACGTCAATGGGTTCCCGTGCCACCCGCCCCCGCCAGAGCATACTTCATGGGAAGTGGAATTGGCCGTGGCTGCGGTGCTGGAAGTGGTCGCACCGTCGGAACATGTGGCATCCACGTAGACGGCGCCGATATAGTAGAAGCCCAGAGACCAAGAGATCAGGGCCGTGATAGCGAGCAAGGGTAATAAGATCCCAAAGATCTTGGAGGTTTGTTTCGGGCGACGCTTGTGAAGGGGAGCCTCCATCAAGTGGTACGTGGCCATTGCGAGTGCTAAGGTTATGGCAAAAACAATCACCATGGACGTCGGAGACTTGAGACATTCGGTCCCCCGCATAAACACTAGTACTGGCCAATGCCACAGATAGAGGGCATATGACAGATTACCGATGTACACCAAGAACTTGCTGCCAAAGCACGCATTTAGAATCGCATTCGGTGAACTACCTGCAGCTATAAAGCAGAGCGTCCCGCCAACACTCAGCGACGCCCAAGGGAAGGGAAACCCCCAACCACTTGGCGTGAACAACAGCCCAACAATGAGCAACAACGACGATGCAACCTGCAATATTATATACCTGACGCCGTTCGCAATGGTGTCCGTACCGGGTGCATAGTTCGGCATCATATGAAACACGCACGCGCCAAGCGCCAACTCCCAAAACCGGGACGGTAATATATAGAACGCGACTTGGGCGTTGGAATCCGCCGGCCCCCGTGTGGGGCCACAAGGCTCCGAGGTTCTCCAGTTCCAGTTTCGAGTCTCCCATATCATAGTCCTACGTTATTGTTCCCACGGTACTTCGTTGAAGGCCGCGCGAGGGGGGGGGGGGGGCAAAAAGAGCCCCGCTTACCACCGCCCGGGGGGGGTCTCAGATTTTCTGGGGGGTCCTAAGAACGCAAAAGTACAGAAGACTCGCGCCCCCGAAGCCATCATCCCTTGTACATTACACTAGACTCGCGCTCCCAAGGGCATACTCCCTCGTAGATCATACAATGTCCGCGTCCCCAAAACAAGACACCCTCGCCAATCATATGGTGCTCGCGCTTCTGAAACCAATATATTTCGTACAGTATGCGATGTGCGCGTCTCCGAAGCAATACTCTGCCTCTCTCTCTCTCTCTGTCTCCTTCTCCCTCGTTTTCTCTATTCGTAAATGACGCAGTTCTTGCGCCCCCGAAGCCACGATCCCTCATAGATTTCGCATGCTTCGCGTGCCCGCATTCACAAACCCTTGTAAAGTGCGCAGTCTTCGTGCTTCCGAGGCCAGTCCTTCATTAAAGGCCCTAAGACAATACAATAGGCCTCAGAGACGGCCCAAGAGTGCTCCAAGGCGTCCAAGATGGTCCCAAGACGGCCAAAGAGGCTCCCAAGAGGCCCCCAAGAGCGCTCCAAGAGCACCCCCAATCGTTTCCCACGAGGCCAACATCTGCGATGCTGCTTTAGTTTTTGATGGATTTTGGTACGCTCATATCTCCATCGGCCCCCGTTAGGAGTTCCGACGCTGCTGCATGACGGCGCCTGGGCCTCACAATATCGCTCTTGCATGCCCCATTCTCAAAAGGAGGGGGACGGCGACAGGGGGCGAAGCTCTTAAGGATAACTTGAAAAGGTGAGGACGTCCGAGAGACGGGTGCGTTGGTGTGGTTGCAAGTTTACCCCCCCTTACCCCCCCACTGGCCTTGCCCCCTGTTGCTGGCCCACCCCCACCAAAGATGCCGGAGCTCCTGGGCACGGCCGCGGCGATCCCAGGAGCCTCTCACGTGCGCCCAAGACGGTCCAAGACTGTCCCAAGACGGCCCAAGAGAGCCTCCAGACGGTTCCAGATCGTTCCAAGACGCCCAAGATGGCCTCCAAACGGCCCAAGACGCTTCCAACACGCCCCAAGAGGCCTTCAAGAGCACCTTCACGAGAGCCCTAGAAACAGAAAGAATTGATTTTCGAATGGTTTTTGAACGATTTCCGCGTTCTCGTCATTTCGGCTTACCAGCGCTCCCCAAGACGGCCCAAAAGGCCCCCAAGACCGCCCCAAGACGGCCCAACCGGCCCCCAAGAGGGCTCCAAGAAAGCCCAAGAGGGCCCCAAAACGGCCCAAGAGGCCCCCACGACGGCCCAAGAGAGACCCAGGACGACCCCAAGAGTGGGCTCAGAAGGGGAACCTGAATGGACATTTCGAGCTTTCGGTCCCAAGAGGCCCCCAGGAGGCCCTAAGAGGTTCCCAAGAGGCCGCTAAAAGGCTCCACGACGGCCCCAAGAGGCCCCAAGATGGCCCCAAAAAGTCACCAAAAAGATCCCGGGAGGCCTTCAAGAGGCCCCGAAACTGCCCTGCAAGGGCCCCCTGAGAGCTCTCTGGAGAGAACCGAGAGAACCCAAGAAGCGTCCATGAGGACTCCGACCCAAAATCCAAGCACGGTGGCGGGATGGGCCGAAGGCCATTTGACCTGCTTGGCACGTGGACGGAAAGCGCACTTACTTTCAGAGCGCACGAGATCGCTGGCTCGTCCGCTCTTACACCTCTTATTGACTCCCTTCCCCTCGCTCTTGTCCTATCTCAGCCTCGGAGAGTCGCGGAGCTTTCTTTGAGCGCGTTTCTTGTTTTGGAGGGGGCGGTCGGGTCGCGTTGCGTTTTCCGCGTTTGGGCTGCCAGCTTTCCAGAAGTGGACCGCTCGTTGTCCACGCGTTGCCGCCCGTCCCTGTGCCCTGGCGTCAAGAACTTATTACGTCGCAGCTCTCGGTTGGGAGCTTTGGTCTCATCAGCTCGATTACGTCACCGCTCGCTCTTGGGAGCCGCGGTGCTAAGAGCCTTTGGGAGTATTTTGGGCCTCTTGGGGGGCTCTTGGGGAGCCTCTTGGGTGCCTCTCTTAGGGACCTTTTGGGGCTTCTCGGGGGCCTCTGGGGGCCTCGTGGGAGCTTCTGGGCTGCGGGGGTGAAGGGACTAGGCTGCTTTGGCCGTCTTTGGGCTCTCTTGGGGGCCTCTCGGGGCCTTCTTGGGGGTCCTGGGGCCGTCGTGGCCGTCTTGGCGCCTCTTGGGCCGTCTTGGCGCCCTCTTGGGCGTTTTGGGGCCTCTTGGGGGCCTCTTGGGCCTTCTTGGGGCGCTCTTGGGGGCCTCTTGGACAGTCTTGGGCGCCTCTTGGCCCGTCTTGGCGCCCTCTTGGGCTATTTGGGGGCCTCTTGGAAACATCTTGGACCGTCTTGGGGCGGTTTGGGGGGCCTCTTGGAACGCCTTCAACGCCATGAAAGGCGAAAAGCCGTATATGCTAGAAATGCACGTTTTCCTTAGAAAATCAATGATGTTGGCCTCTTGTGGCCCTCTTGGGACGCCTCGTGGGCGCCTCCTGGGGCGTCGTGGAGGCCTCTTGGGACGTCTTGGGGCCGCCTTGGGCGGTCTTGGGCTCTCTTGGAGCGCTCTTGGGCCGTCTTGGGAGCTTCTTGGGCAGTCTTTGGCCGTCTTGGGCGCCGTCTTGGCCGCTTCCTGGGCTGTCGCAGGCGCCTAAGACGGCCCAAGAAGCGCCCAAGAAGCGTTCTCCGATGATGTCTCGAGCGAAACGCTGTTTTGAAGCCCCGAAGGCCGTCCTACCTGCTTGGCACGGGGCTGGCTCGTCCGCTCTTACACCTCTGATTGACTCCCTTCCCCTCGCTCTTGTCCTACCTCAGGCTCGGAGAGTCGCGGAGCTTTCTTTGAGCGCGTTTCTTGTTTTGGAGGGGGCGGTCGGGTCGCGTTGCGTTTTCCGCGTTTGGGCTGCCAGCTTTCAAGAACCCCGCGTTTTCCTTGCGTGGACCGCTCGTTGTCCACGCGTTGCCGCCCGTCCCTGTGCCCTGGCGTGAAGAACTTATTACGCCGCAGCTCTCTGTTGGGAGCTTTGGTCTTATCAGCTCGATTACGTCACCGCTCGCTCTTGGGAGCCGCGGTGCTAAGAGCCTTTGGGAGTATTTTGGGCCTCTTGGGGGGCTCTTGGGGAGCCTCTTGGGTGCCTCTTGGGGACCTTTTGGGGCTTCTCGGGGGCCTCTGGGGGCCTCCTGGGAGCTTCTGGGCTGCGGGGGTGAAGGGACTAGGCTGCATTTGGCCGTCTTTGGGCTCTCTTGGGGGCTTCTCGGGGCCTTCTTGGGGCCGTCCTGGCGCCGTCTTGGGCCGTCTTGGCGCCTCTTGGGCCGTCTTGGCGCCCTCTTGGGCCGTTTTTGGGCCTTCTTGGGGGCCTATTGGGTCTTCTTGGGGCGCTCTTGGGGGCCTCTTGGACAGTCTTGGGCGCCTCTTGGCCCGTCTTGGCGCCCTCTTGGGCTATTTGGGGGGCCTCTTGGGAACATCTTGGGCCGTCTTGGAGCGGTCTTGGGGGCCTCTTGGACCGTCTTCAACGCCATGAAAGGCGAAAAGCCGTATATGCTAGAAATGTACGTTTTCCTTCAGAAAATCAATGATGTTGGCCTCTTGGGGCCCTCTTGGGACGCCTCGTGGGCGCCTCCTGGGGCGTCGTGGAGGCCTCTTGGGACGTCTTGGGGCCGCCTTGGGCGGTCTTGGGCTCTCTTGGAGCGCTCTTGGGCCGTCTTGGGCGCTTCTTGGGCCGTCTTGGGCCGTCTTGGGCGCCGTCTTGGCCGCTTCTTGGGCTGCCTTAGGCGCCTAAGACGGCCCAAGAAGCGCCCAAGAAGCGCTTTCCGATGATGTCTCGAGCGAAACGCTGTTTTGTAAGCCCCGAAGGCCGTCCTACCTGCTTGGCACGGGGACGGAAAGCGCACTTACTTTCAGAGCGCACGGGATCGCTGGCTTGTCCGCTCTTACACCTCTTATTGACTCCCTTCCCCTCGCTCTTGTCCTATCTCAGCCTCGGAGAGTCGCGGAGCTTTCTTTAAAGGCGTTTCTTGTGTTGGAAGGGGCGGTCGGGTCGCGTTGCGTTTTCCGCGTTTGGGCTGCCAGCTTTCAAGAACCCCGCGTTGTCCTTGCGTGGACCGCTCGTTGTCCACGCGTTGCCGCCCGTCCCTGTGCCCTGGCGTGAAGAACTTATTACGCCGCAGCTCTCGGTTGGGAGTTTTGGTCTTATCAGCTCGATTACGTCACCGCTCGCTCTTGGGAGCCGCGGTGCTAAGAGCCTTTGGGAGTATTGTGGGCCTCTTGGGGGGCTCTTGGGGAGCTTCTCGGGTGCATCTTGGGGACCTTTTGGGGCTTCTCGGTGGCCTTTTGGGGCCTCCGGGGAGCTTCTGGGCTGCGGGGGTGAAGGGACTAGGCTGCCTTTGGCCGTCTTTGGGCTCTCTTGGGGGCCTCGTGGGACCTTCTTGGGGCCGTCCTGGGGCCGTCTTGGGCCGTCTTGGCGCCTCTTGGGCCGTCTTGGCGCCCTCTTGGGTCGTTTTTGGACCCTCTTGGGGGGCCTCTTGGGCCTTCTTGGGGCGCTCTTAGGGGCCTCTTGGACAGTCTTGGACAGTCTTGGGCGCCTCTTGGCCCGTCTTGGCGCCCTCTTGGGCTATTTTGGGGGCCTCGTGGGAACATCTTGGGCCGTCTTGGAGCGGTCTTTGGGACCTCTTGGACCGTCTTCAACGCCATGAAAGGCGAAAAGCCGCATATGCTAGAAATGCACGCTTTCCTCAGAAAATAAATGATTTTGGCCTCTTGGGGCCCTCTTGGGACGCCTTGTGGGCGCCTCCTGGGGCGTCGTGGAGGCCTCTTGGGACGTCTTGGGGCCGCCTTGGGCGGTCTTGGGCTCTCTTGGAGCGCTCTTG